GCAACATTATCACACTGCAGACAGGATCATTTATCTTCTAATTTAGCATGTCATATGTTCTATATTTGTAATCAGCGATTATTCATTATACTCCATTGAAGTTCAAAACGAAGCTTTTCTCCTTTATTGAACCAGTAACTAATCCATAACAATTGCAGTATTTTTTCTTTGCATTTATTCTGATCCTGAAATTACTACAAGATAAATTCAGAAATGAATGAGTCAAGAATCAATCATTTAGTGTAGATGGAGAGAACAAACTCATGATGCTTGTCAACGGAGTAGGAGAGGTATCCATTTCTGCTTAACTGTGTTTCCTATTTGCTGTTGTTATTGTTATTATTATATTTTTATCCCTTTTTAATAAGATTGAACCATATATATTCATGATCAGTAACTGTATTATAAAATAAGAAGTTATAAAAAGATAAAGCAAAGATGAGATGATTTCCATAATAAGAAACTGTTATTTATATATTTCCCTTTTTTATTTACTATAAAAGCACACTCAAATTTAACCTTTAGTTTAAGACTTTCCAAAAAGTCTTAAATTTTTTAAATATGCTTGAAATAGAAACTTAGCAAAACTAAACTTTTTTATTTGTAATTAAATAATATTTGATAAACTTTATTATTGTATTTAATACAAAGTTAAAAGAGCACTAGCACACATCAGAAATGTATAGTATAATAGTCAACATCACACGGAATTTATTCATACATTGCAGTCTTGTTGCCATATTAGTCTCGTATGTAGTGATTTTCACTGATGATTTGGAGATCTTGTCCTGAAGGATTTTAATATGTTGGATATAATACAGTAAAATTATAGAATATGAAAGTTGCTGGAGTATTTAATAACCTTATATCTGAACTCTAGACACAATGTAATCTTTATTGGCTTTACTATTTTATAAATCAGGTAATGCAGTACATACAGATTCATTGCACCACTCTATACATATAATGAACGATGATCTTAGTAAGAAATAATAAAAAGTTATTGTACGACCTGAATTTTGTATTATTTTAATTTAAATCAGATTTGGAGCAAATTAGATATTGGCCTTTAGGTTTATGGTATTTCTGCATTTCTTGCTATAATTATTAGAGCTTTTCTTGGAAGCATCAGAACATCTCTAGCAATTACCAGAGTACATTATATAATAAGCTAATCAAGATATCAACTGAAATCTAGTGAGTGTATCTTTAAATGTTAATCTTATTCTACCTTTTGTGCACCTAAGAAACATCTATGCATAAATGAAGGAAAAACAGTATGAGTTAAGAATTAAGACTTCCTTTCAATGACAAGTGTATATTAGGTTTATATTCTACCTTCCAGTTGAAAGCTCTTAAGCATGTAAATTAATTAAAATAAAATTAAAGATATTGTTTCCTAATTAGGAATGGCTAAGATATCATATCTGACATAGAATACAAATATAAAGACATTCTGTATATTTACTCAATTATTAACTGTATCCAAACTATTAGTTCAACTGCAGAACTGGAAGATACTACTAAACTCAAACTTTAGCTTTTAATTGTAAAAATGACTTGCAAATACAATACTTATGTGAGCATGGCTGAATTTTATATATAATATTTCTGATTTGAGGAACAGGAGTGGAATCTGAAAAGTTCAGGTGGCATTTAGCAAAAGAAACTGAGCTGTCCCAGAGCTTACATTAATCTGATTTGCAGAGTATCCACTAGCATCTGGGGACCTACTAAAGTTGTTTTCTTTAAATGTGATGTGACGAGGTCAATGCAAATAGCACTGTGGGTTATCCTACAAGATAACAGCCCCTTTATACCATATGAGGATAGTTTGAATTATTGTGTTTGCATGCTGATTATTTATTAAAAAGGAATTCAACTTTACAGGTAGCTCTCTGTTTCTTTCACAAAGGGATTAAAATATTTCATTCATTTTGAATGGACATAGCAGCAGTAAGTTTTTTTTCCAGATATGTCACAGTGTGGTCTGGTTGATTGAGTACTAGACTGGGAGTCTAGAAACCTGAAGTTCTGTTCCTGGCTCAGTTACTAACCTGATGTGGGATGCTGAAGATATTTATTGTTATTATTTCTCTTCTTTGTTTTCTCTGTGTTAACTGTTTAGTACTAAAACGACATTTACACCAACAGGTCCAGCTAATTAAAATAGGTGAAGCTGTACGTGCCTTATAATGGATATTGCATTTATTTATTTAAAATCTGGATGTATTGTGTATCTTTTGTCCTTTATAAATATATTTTAAGTTTTTTTATTTCAGTTAACCTATATTAACATTGTAAGCAAAATAATATCAGATTTATGTCTTTACTTTTTAAATTTCCTATATAATTCAAACACGTACGTGGCTACTAAAATTTCCCAAACACAAAGTATAATAAAGCAAAAAAGTTCAAGGCCAATACTCCAATGATATTTTACTTCAAATAAAAATATTTCTAATCTGCCACCAAAATGGTAGCAAGCTTTCATGGCATTCACATAGATTACTATCCAAGAGAAGAATCTATTGAGCATGAAAGCAATGTGACATCCATGACAACATGAAGATCCAAACATTGCCTTGCACTTCATGAGATGAAATAGCAGCATTTAAGATCTTTAAAATGAAAGTCTTAAGTATTCTAACCTACAGATTGCAGATTTACACTTTAATGTATTTATTTATGTTCATAGACTAGCATTTCAGACAGTACATCAAACAGCAAAGAACATAATAAAACTATCATCTATCTACTATGTATCATAATGACTTTTATACTTGGTAATTGAAATGGATAATTATAGGTCATAATTGATGAAAGAAATTACACACTATTTAGGCAAAGTGAATCTCATCTAGCATACTCATGTGTGTTAAATCCATAAGTGTCCCAATACTGAGTATATGTAAAAAGTATGCTGAGGGGAATGCTATTGGAAGAACAAAAAAACTTAACTGTTTAGCAGTTGGAGGCTACATCAAGCTGTTTTGATTTTCTGTACACTTAGAAGGCACCACTCTGATGGGCCATTTGTCCATAACAAATGGTATATTGGTCCCTGGCACATTACCATTTGTTCCACTCACAGATTGACCACTTCCTTATATTACAAATAACAAGAGCAACTAGCACTGTTGGTAGAAAATAAACAAAAAGTTATTCCTGAACAGTTGAATGGACTTGTGGACAAATTGTTGGTTTTCCAGAAAGGTTAAAAAGCAGCACCCCACTTTTATCTTTCCATGACTATTGGTGGTAAATTTGGGATAGATTAAATATATAATGCAGATAAGTGTTCTTATGCTGCAATGAGAGACACATAGTTTGTGAAAAAGTAAGAAAAAATCAGTTATTTCTTCCCCTAATATAAACTAAATAATATTTTGCAGATACAGACCGTGTATCACTTACATTACATGGACCTCTCCATTGGTGAGATGCAGGCTAATAATTCTAACTTGTTTAGAACAGCACAAGAAAGCTTGAGTAAAATTGGATTGTAAGTTTGGGACATATTAATTGATGGCAAAAGTGGTCTTACTTTAGCAAGAATGTTATGTTTGTTCATTTATGAAATTTATCTGTTGTCCCAAAACTCATGAATTGTAGGTGGTTTACGGATACAAACACAGTGTCTATGGAGATTCTCGATCTCCAGGTCATGTTTGTCCCAAAGATGTTTTTCCAAAAGGCAACTGGCTTTCTGGGGGGGGGGGGTTTCCCTTGAAAATATTTCATTTCTCATCCAAGAATCAGAACTGAAGAAGCTTCTTGAATAAGAAGTGAAACGTTTTCAAGGGGAGAAAAAAAACACCAAGAAAGTCCAGTTGCCTTTTGGAAAAGCAGCTTTGGGATAAAAAAAACACAGGTAAAACTATTGGTAAGCTAATGTACACCTCCTCTATAAATGAAAGCCACAGTAGGCTAAAGCCGTAATGGGCCTTTATAGTAATAACTACTGCATATACAAAGAATAAGGTTAAAAGAGCATGAATTACCAAATGAAATGTAAGAATGGATATGTTGTATGTCTGTAAAACTAAGAGAATCTTGATTCCAGATAGTTGGGTAGGGAATATAAAAATAGAAATCTATATACCTTAATAAATAAACAAGACTATGTCTGATTTACTTGGTCATGTTATTCTTACAAATTCATCATAGAAAGCAATGATGCTAGGAATGGTTAGTGAACAAAGAAGAAGGTGCAAGCAAAGAACGCACACGTTGGCTTGATAACATCAAATCTGATGCAAAGTTGAACATACAACAATTGGAAGAACTGTGCTAGATAGGGTAGCATGGAGAACATTTGCCTATAAAGACACAAGAGTCGGACACAACTACATAGTTAAAAACAACAACAATATAGTTTAATTTCTTTGCTTACTATTTTTTACTTTTTTTTCTGCTTTGTATATCATTGTTTATTCCAAAATGGAATAATATAAGTATGCAGGTAAGATGTTAAACTGAGAAGTAAAGGGAAAAAAATCCTAGAAGCCACTTCCATGTTGTTGCCAAGAAAAGGACCTGAACCTGTCCATGAAAATCAAATTGGGCTGTTTTGCAATATAAACTGCCAAAGAAGATTAAGAAAATGTATTTATTTATTTTATTTATATCACATTTTATTATTTTTTTCTTGTAAATAACTTAAGTGGCAAACATAACTGATATTCCTTCTTCCTTCTATTTTCCCCATAGAGCAGTGTTTCTCAACCTTGACAATTTTAAGGCATGTGGACTTCAACTCCCAGAATTCCACAGCCAGCAATGCTGGCTGTGGAATTCTGGGAGTTGAAGTCCACATGCCTTAAAATTGTCAAGGTTGAGAAACACTGCCATAGAGACCTGTGAGGTGAGTTGGGCTGAGAGAGAATAAGAGATCCAAAGTCACTGAGCCAGTTTTTCATGGCTAAGGCAGGACTAGAAAGCACAGATTCCTTATTTCTACCCTGGTGACTAATCAGAATTTACTTTTCTTTCCGCAGGCAATGTGGCTAATGTTGCAGATGGATGAACCACAGGATTTTGTAATAGCTACTGGTGAGGTCCACAGTGTCCGTGAATTTGTGGAGAAGGCATTTCAGAACATTGGTAAAACTATTGTGTAAGTAAAGCCATGCAATGATAATGATATTGCATGATGATTTTTCATTCATGACCATTTATTTCAGGGGTCTTTAAACTTGGCCCTTTTATGACTTGTGGACTTCAACTCCCAGAATTTTCAGCCAGCATGCCTGGCTGAGGAATTCTGGGAGTTGAAGTCCACAAGTCATAAAAGGGCCAAGTTTGAAGACCCCTGATTTATTTGATTGTAAATTTATGGCACAGTATTTTTAGATATATGTTTTCTCCTTCATCTGATTTTATGAGAATTTGAATATATATCAATTATATTTCACTCCATTTTGAAGATATATCACTCTTGACTAAGAAAAAGAAAGTTCTGCCTAATCTCAAAGCATATATATGCCGAATAGTAGTGGACCACTATGACATTACATTTGGTGTTTATTTGGTTTTAAAATGATCCCTTTCTGAAAGTTTGAGATGTGTGTCAATGTTAACTGACAGGAAGAAACTTCATGCTAATCTAGACTAATCCAAATGACAGCTTCTGCCAGGCTTTTTCAGACATAGCTAAAATTCTGACAGATGTACTAAAAAAAGAATATAGCTAGAGAACAGGTTTTGTTCTTTAAACACAGTATGCATTGAACTTCCAAAGAGAAGCAAGAAGGCTACATTGTTTGAATTTGTATTCTACTTTTCCATAAAAAAGATACTCGAAGTAACTAATGTAGTAAAATTATTCACATCTAGATTTGGAATAAAAGAAGGGAGTGAGGCAGCTACCTAATATGCTTCTAATAGTCCTTTCCTGGTAAAATTTGGTACTCAATAATAATAATAAAAAACTTATCAGTGAATTTACAAATTATGAGACAGTAATAAAGTATGGAAGAGTCTGATTAGGTTAATTTACTACTTCCTAGTCTTATTTAGTATCTATATAATTGATTTTGGATTGTACTATATCATAGTAAATTTATTATGAAAGTAAAATTATTGTTTATGTATCCATATTATTGTTCACTTCTTCTCTAGTATTCCCCAGTTCCCCATATCCAATTTTTCTACTGGTAACCACCCAGAATAGTAAACTGTACCTCTAGGTTTACTTGAATTTTCAATGTCCACAGCAATATTAACAATCTCGCTCTTTTCCCCCCCAGTAATTGCCACTCTATTTAGCCATAAAAATATTGAGGCATAAAGCACAATTTATACTGCATATTCCATATGCACTGGGTTTATTGCAAAAGTGAAATATTTCTCTAATTCAGATAATAAAATTAGGATCACTTTGTAAATACTTTCTGTAGTTTATATTTTGCTTTATTGTATTTATCACTTTCTTGCTTCTGTGTCTTTTCTGTTGCCCATGCATAAGCAAGCTAAACTCAGTTAGAAAAAAGAAGGAAGAGGAACACTTTTCCCCGTGATACTAAAATGGAACTGTGAAAATCACTGATACCTTTAATACAATATGCCTGAACCACAATATCATATTCTCTTCCTTTCTCCTTTTCTGATACTGCCAGGGTAAAAGTTTTAAAGCTTTTCCCATTTTCAGCTTGCCACATCTAGGTAAAATGGTGGCTTGTGTACGTTTTGCTTTATTGAGACAAACCAAGATCACTAAATGCAGTTGTTTTATTTAAGTCACCCATACTTAATGGTTGCTATAATTTCTCTTGATAAACATAATAATAAGTTTTCTGATCGAAGTAAAGTTTGGGGAATGGAAAACAAATAAGCCACAATCTTATGTTCATTATTGTACACTAGACTATGTTTTGAAAAACATACAAAGCACAAGCTGTGTGTTTGCTTATTATTGGAATTTAGTTCAACTGTTCCTAATGTTAGCATGATTAGGAAAACTTACATTGCTAATTTCTTTCAGCATTAACTAATTTGTTTTTAATACCAAGCACCTGAAATAAAAATATCTTTCAATTAATAATAAATGGTCCAAATTGATGTAAGACAGAGATGGATTGGATATAGGATTCAGTTAAAAATAAAGTAAGACAAATTAATGAACTCTCTAAATGTAGAAAAAAAGAACACAGAAGTGCATGTCCATACATGAAAAATATTTCAGGTTGGGGAGTTAAAATTGCTTATTTGTAAGAGGTAATTGTAAGCATATTACAATATAGATGTCTTCATGCTGCATCCAGTTTTCTTATGAACAAGTTGAGGACTACCTGGATGCAAATACAGGTAGTCCTCAACTTGTTCTAACCACAGTTGAGATCAGAATTTCCATTTTAAGCAAGGCAGTTGTTAAGTGAGTCACATCCAGTTTTACAACTTTTTTGCCATGGTTGTTAAGCAAATCATTTGGAGTTGTTAAGCAGATCTGGCTTCCCCCATTGACTTGCCTTGTTGGACATTAGCTGGGAAGGTCGCAAATGTGATCACATGACCCCAGGACACTGCAACCATCATAAATACATGCCAATTTTCAAGTGGCCAAATTTTGATCATGTGACTGTGAGGATGCTGCAACAGTTGTACGTGTGGCTTGTTATAAGTCATTTTTTTGTAGTGCGGTTGTAACTTCGAACAGCCACTAAACAAATGTTTGTAAGTTGATGACTACCTGTAACTAGAATGGCTGGCTCTTCGTATGTTGATGGAATGTAAACATTTACTACCAATAAAGTAGTTCTCATGGGAGGCATCTTTGAATGTAAATCATAGTTTTTTCTGGTAACACTAATACTAAGTATTTTTGTGTTTACAACCATGTCTTAAAATAGAATGGTGAAGATGTGAACGAATAAAATTGGTTTCCTTGTTCCATCTCTCTTATCCTGATCTAGAAACAAGCAATTTATTTATGTAAAGCTAATCACATAGTTATAGACGAATGAAATTCTATCCATCCACTTATTTACTGCTTTGTGAAGTCAAAACCAGTTTTGAATATAGGTATTCCTCATTTAGTGACTGCACCATATAGCGACCATTCACAGTCCCACAATAAGGACCATCAGCTTATTTATTAAGCAAAGCAGTCACCAAATGAAACCACAACTATTCTTATGACATTACTGAAGCTTTCTTTGGCTTTGCAGACTTGCTAAGGTCATAAATGTGAGGATTAGTCACAAAGTTACTTTTTCATTACCATTGTAACTGTGAACGGTTGCTAAATGAGGCAGTTACTAAATGAGGATTACCTATATATTACATGTCACTTTAATTTTAAAATCCTGATGGAGAATAGTAATTATGCTTTTAAGTAAAGAATAAAAATAATTAATTTCATGTTATTGATTTATAAAATGCTTTCTCAATATCAGACTCAGCAGTTTATCTGCTTAGTAAGATCATTATGTTTTATTGTATTAGTCTGAAAAAAAAAAAACTTTGGCAAGTGACAGATAAACAGCTCGAAGAGTTAGATCTTTTGTTTCTGAAATATAATTGAATATTTTAACACTGCTAGTGCCAAAAAAAATGGTGAATGATAAGAGTCAGACAAACTCTAATTTAGTTCTTTGCATTGACAAGAAGGCCTTTGAGCTACAAATAATTTCAGTGTACTAGCAAAACATTTTTGAAAAAATTCTTTCTGCCTATTACTAATTAAATAACATGACAAAGGAACATTTCCCTCCTCTAATTTAACCCTAGAAGGATAAACTAAACAGGCAAACACTTGTCTTGACTAATTTTCTGTCATTAATCTTATTAAACAAGAGCAGGACTGTAAGAATAGCCTCAAACCACTGTAATATACAAGAGTTTTTAATGGATGCTGTAAAAAAAGGAAAGAGAAGCCTAATCAGGTCTTGGAAAGATTTATGAATGCTTTTTTTATTATAATTCTGCATATAGTTTCAGAGTAAAAGTATGCATTGCTTGAAGGGTTGAGATTTACGTCGAAATGTAATGAATATATTGTCACAATCACATTAGTCTATATTGCCTTTTCCTGAAATTATTGTGGGTGTCTCTTCTTGCGAGAAATTTCATTTATTCTGCCGGTAGGGACAAACTGTTTGAAAAAAAGCAGATTACAAATGTTTTAAATAAGTAAAGAGTTCTTAAAAACATCACAAGAAAGAAAAAGCAAAACAAAGACCTAGTGCTTTTGGAGAAGCTCTGAGGCTTTAAAAACTGGTAGTAAATGAGGTTGACCAATTGGCAATGAGTGGACGATCTGAAAGAGCAAGTTAGGGATAGATCATCATGGGGAAAAATGTCTATGTAGTCACTAAGAGTGAACAATGACTTGATGGCTCATAATCAATCAATCAAAATGTTCTGCAACAAAGAGGATAAGGAACAAGTATGCAAATGATTGGCCTAACACAAAGAAGCATATTTTTTACATCTTTTAAGGCCTTAGCAAATGAACTGATCTAATGTTATAAACAGTCCATTTTATTTTATTTTATACTTAATGAAAGTTTATTTATTGTAAACTTGTCCAAGCATATTTAGATAAAATAGTTAGCATCCATTGCAGGTAAAAAGAAATCCTATTAGGCTCAACCATAATCTCGCACCTATGTTCTATATTCTCTGAAGTATGTTTTCATCCACTTAGACCAGGGTTGTCAAATTGATGCGTCACACTCTCCACAAAGGCAAAAAATGGCGCAATATATCACGATATGTAACATGACACGATCGACTTTGACACCCATGACTTAGGCTTTAGCTTTCTTTCCTGTCATTACCCTTAGCTCAGGAACATATATGCCTTTCTAAAGAGAGAAATGATTATTTCAATTTCCCAGAATGTCTCCATGTTTCATAGAATTAATAGGACAGCAACAGGAGTACTAGCTATTTCAGATGAGAAATCCCATTCTTCCCTTCACAATTCATTTCTCTGAAAAGGGAGCATTTTTTACAGATTTCCTTGCAAAGAAGAAAAAAAACTGCTGAAATTCTAAATCTCAAGTGAAAATAATCTGGCCTTGAGGATGGAATAAATGTTAAATTCCCTGTTTTCAGAATTTTACATAACTGTCCAGATACAGTCAGGATATAGTGTAACATGATTTGAGCTGC